CTGACATAAGAGTTGCATAATAGGTCTACATGTAAGGGCTACTTTGAGGCCCACAATTTCTGTCGTTGTTTTTAAGGCGAAACATTTTTCCTTTGATTGCAGTTATGAAGAAAAAAAATGAAGAACTGGTAATGAAAACTGTATGGTTTTTGGCCTTGAAAACAACGGCAGAAATTGTGAGGTGGGATCTGAGTAAAAACGTGTGGTATGCGTTTAAAAAAGTATACGAGCTTTGAAATTACTCTCATCTTTTGCTCAAGTAAATGGCAGACATTCTGCAAATCTTTCAATTTTGTTGAGCTGCATAGAAAATGGCACCATACAATTGAAAACTGTGGTTTTTTTGCGAAATTTGTGATTTTGAACATTTCGAGCCATCACATCTCCTTAAACGGAATTTGTTGGGACAAAAATGGGATACACATCATTAGATCTTCTGCTGATTCCAAAAACATAGATGAACATGTTAGGTTAGATGAACATGTTGACATTTTGCAAATTTTTGAATCTACCAAAAATAGGCAAATTTTACATAGCTTTATTTAATTCAGTGTCGCTTCGAGGAAAAAAGTATATGAAATAACTTCGAAAATCTACATTTTGAAGAACAATGGTGTTCGCTGCGTTCGTTTTGGTCAGAAAGTTTTTGGCCCACATGAGTGTGAAGAGGTGCACCTTTTTTAATTTCACAAAATTTAGCAAATTATTGTGCTAAAACGGTTCCATACCCAAAACCAAAATTTTACATTCTAACTTGGGGTCATGAGGGGTACCACATGAAAAGTTTTCAGCAAAATCGGAGGGGGTCATGCTCCAGCCTCTAGCTGATTTGAGATGGAATTACCATGGTATAATTCCTTGTACTTTATCATCATTTTACAAAAGATATATTACCCTTGTGTGTGCATCTGTTCTGCCATTCTTGTGCCTTGCCCCCCCCCCCCCCTGGGAATAAACCAGCGGACATAGGCGCCACTTTGGGGCACCCTGAGAGACACGTGCTTTGGTCTACCTCATCCTTCATTTCAAACGTTAGGGAACGTTATGTTTTTCACTTGATTAAGACACTTATGCATGGGACGTTCCTCATGCACAGGTATCCGAGTCCATTGAAACGTCAGACTCAAATGAAAAAAAATTCTGAGGTTTCTCTGCATCCCTTTCTATGTATAGGCCTACTTCAGGCTTTGAACTGAAATTCGTTTGGGACCTATTCCAGACAACAACGTTCAGTATCTTGAGTTTACTTTCGCCCTAAATAGCGCTATCTCTTTTCAGTACGGATATTGAGACTTGGTTGAGCGCCAACCAACCTGTTCTGCTCAAGTTAGCTTGGAGCACAAGATTGAATGAAATACACTTGAGGCTTTAGACAGACAAATGCAGAAGGGAAATTAAAAAAATGGGGTGTTTTACATTTGGCTAGCCTAAAGCATTGCACTGGCCTGAAGTCACACATTCACAAGACAGCCTGTAGACTGACAGGAGAAACAGATTCTTGCCAAATAAATATTGCTGCTCAGATAACAGCATTGTTAGGATTTTTTTATATTGAGCAGCTTGGCCTGAAGTTGGGAAAAATGTTCCAGTTCAAATAGCATAAACCCAAGCATAAACCTGTGAGATGTAGATTGCAGAATTGTAAGGTAGTAAATTTGTGGAATGTGTTTAGTGATTATAGGCTGTCCCTTCAATGATTTGCTGTAAGAAAATATTAGATGCCTTTATTGACAAGCAAAAAAGAAAAGAAGGGAGCAGATTAGCAGTATCAAGGTAGAAGGTGGACATGCTCCCTCTAAAATATAAATCTTTTAGGGGGGCAGGCCTATCTTACTCTGTGTGAATTCTGAGCACAGGATGTCCCTTACTGAATCTTTTACCCTTTAATGTGTTATAGGAGATGATATTGCAATTCATCATAGATCTTGGTGATGAGTAATTGGAAATTGTCATTCCTCTCCTTGTGAGAGCATTACATCAAGAATCATTATATTTGTCAAAGAGTAACTTTTTTGCATTTTCATACTTGCCCTTGATTTCACCATTTCATGTTTTTGAAGAAAAAAATTTTTGGGTGCATAAATGTTTGATTTTGCAAAGCCATGGCCATAGATATGGATTTATGGTAAGGGTGAAAATCAGGAAAAGTGACAGACCATGTGAACTGCTTGTGAACCCCTTCTGTGACTATCTTTAAGAAGAAACTAGATGCTTTCATGGACAGGCAAAAAGGTGGGGGGCAATGTTGACGTAGGTACTAGACAGTAAACAACTAGGATAGTAAAAAAAAAAAAAATTAAGGAACGCTCGACCTCGACACGTGATATCGAAATGGGTGAATTCGCCTCTTGATATCACTAACTCTCCTGACTCCTACATCTTCACTGGGCATATTTAGACAAAAGACAGATTGCATTTTGTTAAAATGATGTATTAAGTGTCATTAACCCCAAGATTTCATGGTAAGATTTCATCTACTAACATTAGTTTCTATCATTGGATAAGTTTCAATGTTTTACCATTGTTTCAATATCATGTTTATAGGACTTATGTCCAGGCCTAAGCCTAGCCCATTGTGTGACCCATATCTGATTATCTGCCTTTTTTTTTGCTTAAAACTGGGAACCCTGTTTGGCAAATGGAAGTGTTAGATGTGAATAGTTATGCAACTCCAATAAGTACTATAGATTTGGCATATAATTTCAGGTAGGGCTGAGTAGGGTCTAGGTCTTGCTCTGTACATCAATCCAATAGATTGACCTATCCCTAACTTTATCTGCCTGCATGCCCTAGCTTGAAGGCTGATATGTGAGTGATTGGAAGGGGAAATTGGTTTAATGCATTGGTTTAGGTTTAATGCATCTAAAGAGGTGAAGAACAACTGTTGTGGATAAGGGTGGTATAGAGGATTCCTTGAAGCAAGGGAAAGTGAACCATGTGGCATAACCTTATTGTAGGTTATGGGTCTCTTTAAGGGCTCTAGGGTGAAAAATTCATTTGCCATTATGGCCAGTCCATGAAAACTTGGGCTTGAGCAAGTTTCAGCTACAGGGGTGTGGGTAGCGAGTTCCATCCCTGCCAGTTTCCAAATTTTCATAGCTTACCCTCAGTGAATCATTATATTCCACTTCAGAAGGCATATAAGGTAAGGTGACCGGTGACCAGATGTCACGATTTAGGTGGGACAGTCCCACTTTCAGACCACCTGTCCCAGTATCCCCCAATGAACTAAGCAGGACACCCAAATGTCCCACTTTTGGAAGATATAGTTTTTTTTTGTAGAAGAGAGAATATTCATTTGGACCAATTTCCAAACTTTGATAACTACTGCCTGCCAGTGGTCAATCAGGAATTGGTTAGAGGTCAGCACTTCTAGGCTTCCTGCTTTCTTTCTATTGCATTGTCTGAGATGGTCATTAGGATGTATGTTTCCTCATGCCTTAATTGCATGCTGTCTGTGTTTCTTCAATAAAATTTTATCACTCTACATATAAAAAGTGCCAGTAATGTCTAAAAGCAGTGGCAGCTCGTGGACAAAAAATCTGGGGAGGTCACCATATGATCTTCATAATGAGCAAGATTTCATTGTTCAGGATTGGCCTTTTGCACTCAATATTTAGTAAACATAATAATGCAATAAACATATTTACTAAACCAAAAAATCAAATCATATTAATCCAGTAGATCTGTGTGTGCCCCATCATGTTCTAGGCACAACTGAATTCTGTGCTAGATCCTACAGTTCATTTTTGAATCATCTCCTCATCAACATAGCATAAAATTAAAAGGGACTTTAGACCCACCCTGTAGTATTAATGGGAGCATGATGCACAAAAGGTGTGCTAAGGTCAGTTTTTCTGCTTGATGAGTCACATTTCTTGAATTGGCAGGTAGCAAATGAAAGCCTAAGCAAGAAAGCATGTCATGTTGGCAGTTGACCTTCAATCAAAATGATGCAAAAGCAGAGTGGTAATTAGAAAATTCTAGCACCTGAGGGAGAGTAGAGGTGCAACCAGCTCAAGGAGAAAAGTAGTGGTCTGACTGACAAATTTTTCCCCTTGTGAGTTTCAGAACAAACTAGCAAGTTTCCTAAACAAAATCACATCTAGCTAAACCTTGTGAATATCATGATTATGTATAATGTATCTTCAAGGTGACCAGATGTCCTGAATGGGACAGTCCCACTTTCCTCCCCCTTGATAAGTGTAATAATGAAGCACAATGCATTTCCAAGAGTAACAGTTCCAATTCATGTTTCTACAATAAATATAATTGTCAGTGAACAAATACATTCATATTCTTTTTTTTTAGGAGAAAAAGGGAAGTATTTATTTGGTGTCCTGCTTTCATAACACAGAAATCTGGTCACCTAAATATAAGGTCAAGGAGATTTTGTTGATTGAACTTTGGAGAAATTAGGGAAAGTCATTGAGGAAGATTTTAAATGACAAAATTAATGTAACATCCCTTAGCTACTTGATAGTTATTTGTATACTTGCTCTACTCTCTATTTTCACTTCTGTAACCTTGCTTAGCTATTTACATCATTTTGAATAATAGCTGCTGACAAAACCAGTTTTAGGTTTCACTATTTATTTTAAAAAGAAATACTTTCTTCTATTTTCGGTCTAATGAGGTAGAAGACTTGTAGAGCCATGGAAAACATGCAGCAACTGCCCTGTACATTGATTGATTCATAGCAAAATATTTAGGATTGTTCTCTTTATTGATATCCTTTGGATTGAAAGGGAGAGATGTCAGGATGGACTTAGTTTTTTTATTGGTCGCCAAGGAAGTGGAGAAATTATTGTCTTGCATTTCTGTTGGAAAGCAGTTAGCACATTTTTTTAAACTCACACATGATATATGTATAGGCCTAGATCTATTTAAATTAATTAGGTCTTTTTCTCTCTCCAGATGTTGTTGCCTCCTGCCAAAGAACCTGAAAACTGATGAATTGGTGGTGTGGATAAATATATAATCCATAAAATTCAGACGTTATGGATGAAGATGCACTTGAGATTCTGGAAATTTTGCCACAAGTTCCACTGACTATTATTTACAGTACCCTTGGAAAGTATAAGAATGATCCATTTCGAAGGGATAAGGCCCTCACATATCTCCTGAATGAAGACCTTGCTTCTAGCCCAGAATGGCTTCTAGCTGAGAGGCAGCCACATTCAGCAGAGAAACCTTCGCATGCCTTTGCTGATAATATTGCAGGGACTTCTCATTCGTATGGAGTCTGGCCTGTATCATTAGCTGATTCCACAAGCAAAAGTGATAATCATCCAAACAAGAGACCATCCACAAGTGTTCCTGAAGGAAGGAATCCCAAAGAAGGGCGAAATGACCTGGATCTTATAGTTCCAGAAAATGCCAATTCCATGCCTGATGGACAGGATCTTAAAAGGGATCAGCAACTGACATTGTTGCTAGGCATGTTTCCTGACTGTGATCCAGAATACCTGAAGATGAAATGTGATGAATGCAATTATTGTGATAATGCTTTGCAGGTTTGTTTCATTTCAACATTGTCCTGATTGTCTTGTTCATTTTCTTTTTTCCTATTAACCTTTTCCAGTCCACTGTCAAAGGAGCCCAGACATTCAATTTTTTACTGGTTGGTCCTATATTGCACCTCCCCTGATACAAAGTTATGCTAGTCCAGTCCTGTGCTATATATGATATATGGTACAGGTGAGAGTGCCTGGAGCAGGGGTATTTAAATTGGATCTGGGTGGGGATAAAATTGTCAGGTAATGTGGACTGGAAGAGGTTAAGGAGTTTCATATAGATTGTGCAAGTAACAAGTTCCAAGGGTCTCAGCAAGAAAGTAGACATGTTGATGAGTTCTTTAAGTTGCCAGGATTGTCAGTGTTTGTTATTCCATTTTGTCTAGGAGTAAATAAACTTTTAATGAATATAATTATTAGGAAAAAATTTTTATTTTCTTCGAAAATAAAAATTTATTTGAAACTGCATCCTGACATTACTTATTCCAGCTGCATTTAAATTGATTTGAAGTTCATAAAAAGCGCAAATGTGAACAATTACCGTGCCATATTAAACATAGTTGCACCATATAGCCTGAGTAAACTATTTGAATAAGTTGAGCAATTTGTTCTCATAAATAATTTGGAACAGTAGGAAAATTTTGTTAAATATAAAAATGTATAAACCCCTGGGTCAGGGCCTGGTGGAGAAGGTGTTGCTATCCACATGGTGGTTGATAGACAAGGCAAGCAAAGTACTGAATTGGTTTTCAATTTTTTAAAATATGACATATTTTATTTCCTGTAGCTATAAAAACTTTATAATGTTTAGGTACTTCTTAAGGAATGAATGTAGTCATTCAATTTCAAGCAGGGATGACCATTTGAATGCAAAGGTGAAGGTGACATATTGATAATGAAAAAAAGGAATATTTTTGTTTTAGGTGGTGGTGCAAGATATGTTGGATCAACAGAATTATCCTCACTGCAAGCAGGCCCACTTGCACAAGTCTTTGGATCTGAAGAGCAAATACAGTGATATGTCACTTCATGAATTCCTGGACTTAGTTGATGACCCTTTGGATTTTTTTTATAGAACAGATAGACCTGCTACTCCTGCATATGTCAACCTTACCACAGCATATTTGAAAAAGAATTTCCCATATCATACTGTGAGAGAGATAGAGAAGTTGATGCGGGAGAATCGTTCACTTCTTGCACCCACAGTTAAGGCTATCAGGAATGGAAATTTTGAGTTGAGAAAAACAAGACGTCCAGCATCAGAGGTGCATGAACCTCATGAAACTGATGAAAACTTTCTAAAGGAGGTAAGGCACTTATTGGTCAGGACTTTGTTTTTTTGTATCTATGTAGAACTTTTGAGCAATACATTTGAAATAGTTTTTTAAATGAAACTTTTGAACTTGAGTCATCTGCTCATGAAGTACTGCACTTTGTGAAAGAATGGGGTAGGGCAAGAATTTTGCAATAATTTCCTGGTAAGGGATGAAAAATTTAAGCCTATCGCTAAGAGACTCATTCACAAGCTGTAAGAAACTGGATCATATGAGAAAATGAGCAGAAGACTAAACTAACTTGAACTGAAGAACTGTATTTATGTGAAAGTGGAAGTAGTCATTGCTTCTCAATACAATGATCCAGGGCTGCAAAAATCCCATCAGCAATTTTCCAGACATATGGGTGGAGCTCTGCTCCACCCATATGATCTGTTTAATGAATTCTGAAATAGAGGGAAAAACCCCTTGAAAAGAATTGTCATTTCTAGACATTGAGGAAGATCCTCCAGTCAGCATCCAGTTGCAAGTACGAGAATGTAATTCCAATTGCTTTTGTAAATTTGCTTGCGTGGTAAAATGGCTAGAGGTAAATGGGAAAAAATTTAGGCTACTCAAAGGATGCATGGATGTTTGGATGAAAGAAACTTCACTTTGTTAGATGCTGTTTCAGAAGTGCCACAGAATTTCAGAGTGGCATGGTTTTTTGTTGCTTCACTCGGTATTTCAGACTTCTACACTCAGTATTCGTTGGTCAAAAAGTCAGTGTCAAGTATCAATACTAATTAATGTAATGATTGCAATCCTCTAATGTATTCTGTGGTGAAAATGCTAAAAAAATAATTGTCTTCATGTCCCCAAGGGGAAATTGAAGGATCATTAGTAGTCCATTTTCCATGAAACCTGGACCTTCATCAGTTTCATGTAAGGGCCTGTGCATGAGAAAATTGGACAGAAATGAGCACTTAGAGAAAGTTGATGTTATGAATTTTGATCAAATTTGTCCTGTTGATTCTTTATTTTTATTGAATATCAGAAAATAATGTTGACATTGTAACTCTAGGTACTAAAAATGACATGCCCTTGGACCCCAGTTTCAAGAAGCATTTAGGTACTATAAATTTGATATTCATACATTATTGAACAAAGCTTGCCATTTGAATTCTAAGAACTCTTTTGGGAAAGATATTATCAAGTTATTAGCAAGATAACAAGATCGCCATGTCCCTTGAAGTTGCATTAGTAATACAAACTGTCCAAGGAAATTTTGGATCATTATGGCTTTGTGTCATGCAGAAATATCTGGATATTTTTCATACTTTATTGAAGCTGAGGTAGTTTTTTTTCCCCCATGGCTGTATTAAAGTAATCATGTTATGTTTCTGTGACAAAAAGTTATACCCCATAAAAAAGGGCAAAGCATGGCAAGAAAGATCAAGTAATTTTCTCCTATTATTTTTTTAAAATTTGTTGTTTTATTAATTTCAGCGGTATCATCTACTAATATACTCTGTTGAAAATCAGTTCTCTTTCCCTGAAATCTCAGTAGGCACTTTATTTATTCCACCCCAAGCTTTTTAGCCACATAGAGGGATTTATAGTTGCTCTAATGATACATGTTCATAGGCTGTACCTCTTTCATCTTTTTGTAGTTTGCTTCTGGGGAACAGATAGTAAGCAGAATTGAAGGATGGGCAAACTTTGGCTATGCCTAAACTAGCTAGAAGGAAGTGCCTTTATGCTGTGGGTGCAAATGCAGAATCTTGTCATATCATCCACCTGGAGTGATGCTCATTTTCCATGTCCCCTCCTTCTTTTCAGTCAGCCACCCACTCTCTGACTTCATTGATCATCTACTGTGGGATGCTTTACAAGTAAAGGTAAAAATGGTTACTTTTTTTATTTTAACCCTTTCAACGTCATCCTGAGTATGTACTTGTCATTTGCCTGCATACTTGTCTGCTGGATAACAATTTTGGATGCTGCTGAAAGGGTTGAACTGTAAATTTTATTTTACATGTTGCTCATTTGATCAAAATGAGTATTCTTCATCTTGCAACAGCAGTTGATCCTGCATCTCAAGGGGAAGGACTTAGAAGGGCTTGATGATGGAACGATACCATGATTGAGGATGGGTTAGGGTGAGACTAGGGGTAGGCATGGTGGTTTACTTGAAATTCATGTTCTTCCTGTGTCTCCTGAAAAGGCTCATACAAAAAGCAACAGGCATTGGTGATGGGGAAAGAACATGTCATTTGTAGCCTGCACATGTAATTTTGAGATGGTTAGGACCATAATAGAGCAACCCACGTGTTTGTAATTTCTGGGATTTTTGACCTTTTCCTTGTGTTGTATTGTAAAATCTACTGTGTTTTCATTGTTTTGGGGTTTGTGACTGTATATTGGAAACATAAGGAATGAAACATGAAGCAAATAAAATCCTAATCATTCTTTCTCTCATGCCCTTCTTGTGTAACCCACAAATTTTAGAGCCAGAATTTTAAGAGTCCAGATAGATTAAAAGTGAGAATTACAGCACTTTCTTACCTGCAATTTTAACCTGTCAATTTACACATAATCATTTGTGAGGTTTCTCTGCTCTGGTTCTAACTCCCTCATTCCCAGGTATCAGGGAGTACAGGAGATATCTGAAGCATTCATTCACAAATAGTGAGGGTTCAAGTGGGAGTTCAAGAAGGTTTCACTCTACATTATTCTTCTTTATGAAGCCACCAGATAACATAATAACTTTAAGAGCTCTTTCATATGAATTCCTTATTGCTTCTTTCACAGCTGACCTTCCTTCGGTTTGAAGCTGGAATTCAAGATTACTTTGCACTACAGAGGGATGTTCGGGAAAATGAGAAGCGTGAAGCAAGGAAGACAGGGAGCCTCTTGGAATGCCCCATATGTTGTGACGATGAACTTATCTACCTTGACATGGAAGCATGTCCTGAAGGACACACTTTTTGTGGATCTTGTGTGAAGAGGTTATACCATCATCTTAAATCTGTCATTTTAGAAAGTCAAGTTACATGCTCAATCCTAGTCACCTTGAAATTGGTCTGAGAATTTTATTTTCTCTTGTAGGCATGTAAATGAGCAAGTGGGTCAAGGTAGGGTGGATTTCCCCTGCTTGGATGTATCCTGCTCAGCTCTATTTGATTATAGGACTCTTGCTGTAAGACAGGCATTGTTGATTCTCAGTCAGATTTCTAGTGCTTTTGTGGGACTTTTCTTGTACTGACTTTCCTGTTACAGAAACTTATGAAGCCTTCAGTGATGTCTAGGATTTTGAAACAGAAGCAGGCTGAGGAGATAAAAGCTGCAGACATCCCATGTCTTGAATGTTGTCCTTTCTGTGACTTTGCTATGATTGTGGAGGATTCAAATGAGAAGCTATTCAGGTGCCTAAATCCAGAATGCATGAAGGAGTCATGCCGGTGAGTTTCAATCTGCAAAGATACATGATGTAGTTTCTCCCTAATATGATGGATTGTTTTGGAATACTCATGGGGTAGTCATTTTTTTATGAAAGGCAAAATATAAGATGAAAACAGGTGAGTCAGAGCCAGATAGGAAAATTCTCTTGGTTTTGCCCTGTGGTATTTTGCCATATATGATCTGAACAATAATTTTTTATAAAAAGAATCATTTATGCTTTAAAATCTTAAATTTTGAATAGAAATTTTTTTTTTCTGGGAGGCAGTGGGATATAAAAAGAAAAGGAGTTCTCGGGAACCTCCACCTGGGTGAGCAAAGCATTTCCCAGATGTTCCCTCTTTTTGCCAAATTTGTAGCTCTTGAGGCTCATTGCTTTTGTTTTCAGGTTTCTTCTGTAAATTACTCATGGTTCAAACACAGAAACATGTAACAACATTAATACAAGGAGGACCAGCAGATTCTGATTAGCACTGTTGTCCAAGTACTTGAAACCATAGTAAATTGAGTGTAGAAATATAAGCGAGCAATTGAATTACTTTCTTAATCCAAGCAATTAGGCCAGGCATGCTAAATTTGCACACACCAACTCGCCAGTGCTGAGCACTACAGTCAGGGTAGTGAAAAGCAAGCAAATGACCATTATAACTACCGTCCTCCCCCTGTTCATTGCACTCAGATGTATGGACCTCTTCCATCCTATAAAAGGAGCAAACTCCTGTGACACCATCAGTTGAAATTTAACTTTAACCCCCTTCATGCAAGTTTTTGTTGATTCTGCCATTAATGCAAGTTTCAGTCCATGGCCTCCTCCTTTTGAGCTTCCATTCTTCAACAATACCCATTGGAATATCTTAGATGGATCTAAACAATGCCTGTCCATGCAGAAGTTGTGTTTTTGGCCATGGGGTGAGTAAACATTTTGCCTGGCTAGTAAAAGTTGAGACAATTTTTGCAGGACTGAATTATGCATATCAAGTAATTTCTTTACTTTTCAAGGTATTAGGCAATTGTACTCACTGATGCTTTTCTGCTTACTTTTCCATATATTGCCCTTATTTATATTTAGCAGGTCTATGCCAATTATTTTGATATCATTATATGTCTAATTGGTGACATCTGCATATCATAATATTTATTTACTTCTCTGTTTGTCTATACTACTGTCATTGGAGAAGGGAAATATATCACAGGAAATGCCATGTAAGTGTTTATATCATAACTTGATGGACATTGGACAATGAATGGGTTTGGCAGCCAGCCTTGACAAGAACTGATGAAATGAGAAAAGGAAGTTGTGTGAAGACAACTTGCTGTTGGGGGGAACAATTGGTGTCTGAAAACCTGTGAGATAAGGGGTTATATTGGTTTTAAACTTTTAATTGCCTTTTGCATTATATTTATCAGTAAACTTTTGCAGGTTATGCAAGGAACCAAGTCATATTCCATTGAGATGTGATGAAGTGGAAAAAGAAGCAGAAGTCCAGGCTCGAACATATTTGGAAAATGAGATGTCAGAGTCTATAATCAGGTATGATTAGCTGGACATGAATAAGAAGCTTACAATGTCCCTAATTCACTGATTCTGATCTTTGTTCACAGAGAATGCCATAAATGTCATAAACGGTTCATGAAAGAAGAGGGCTGCAACAAAATGACCTGCAGTTGTGGTGCCTCAATGTGCTATGTTTGCAAGAAACCTGGGGTAGGCTATGACCATTTCCGTGAGTCTGAACGTGAAGGCGAGACTGGCAAGTGAGCAGCTTGATTTAACATCTTTTCAGTTAGGGTAAAGGCACCAGTTTGTGGACAGGTTAAGGAAATTTTCCTCTTGAAAATTGTGTTACGGTCGTTGAGGTAATCAAGAAACTGCTTGATTGGTTTCAATGGGAGGCCATTTATCATAGCTTGATGCCCATACCCTGAAATAAAATATTAAAAATATACTTTTCCAAAAATCGCTGTTTAAATGAATATGTGCTGATATTCATGTGGTTCCTATTTGTAGACAGCCTGGTTTCAGTTTGTGGAGATCCATGGACATAGTTTGTGGACACCAGTTTTTGTCAACAATTATGAACATGCGTAGGCTGAATAGAAAAATATGGGCATGAGACATGTACAGCAATTATATTTATCTTCAATGATGTCCTGTTAAGAAACATCATTGGAAAAATTAAGGAATTCAGGGGTGCTAGGTCTAAAACTGAGTGAAAATGTCCAAGTTCACTCATGCTGATGGTTATGCATAATTTATATGGTGGCTGACAGGCAAGTGCAAAATATGGAGCATTTAAGGAAATACATTTTCGGCGTGAATTTTGTGAAATGGCAAAAAAACACAAAATTGTCCACAAACTGGTGCCTCTACCCTTTTTAGATTTCAAATACCTCTCCCTCACAGTCAATTCCCTATGATACAAGGTATTTCTTGTAAATGCATGTTTCTCATGTAATAACTGTCTTTTTCTGTGCTTAAGGTGTCTATTGTGGTGTGATTCTGGAGTCCTCCATGCACAAGAAGTACGAGCAAGGGCAGCAGAGGCAAAACAAGTACTCCTAGAGCAAAGGCCAAATGTTGAACTGAAGTATGATCCAACACAAGATCTTCCAACAGTTCCTAAAGGTATAGAGACTTTTCAATATTGCCAAACAATGTGTCCATTCATTTCCATGTTGTTATAAATTTCCCACAGTAGTGATCTTGCATTTCTTTGCAATAGTCAGCTCAAGCCATTGATGAATTTGAGTTGGATTTGATAAGTATTCAGAACTAGGACAGTTGAGGAACCATTCAGTCGATGGCATTAGTGTTGGGTAACTGGAGCCTTTAGCTTGCATAGCTACTGCTGCTCTGATGCAGATCTGAAAAACTTTATATATCATGAATGTAATTTTTTTTGCCAAAACATGACATGAAAGGACAAGAAACCAATAATTTCAGAAATATTTAACTGACTGCATACCAAGTGTACAAGGCAGCTGCTTTTTGCTTTTTTGGTAGTTGCCATCATGGAATGGAAGGGAGAGCTGTCTTCTGTTTTAATCCAAGGGCAACCAGTTTTTATGTTGGTCATGTGAATGGCAGTGCAACCAGTGGACCATTGAAAACAGTTGCATTGGTGGGCAGTAGCGCATTAGGGGTATTAAGGTGGTACGGGAAGGAAAATCGATGGGTCTGGGATTCAAAATTTTATCCGTAATTCTTATGTAGGGGGTCTCACAAAACCCAGAAAGCACTTTCTTACCTCCCTATC